ATTGGCCGCTATCGTGCACGCTGGCGACGGTACTGGCACATACACGTACTACCGGGCGCTGTTGTGCGCCGTTGGTAGGTGACTGGCACGCGGGTTGCGCGTGCTGGGCTGACTGGGCACTCAGGAGTGCTGCCGGGCATCGCCGAGGCTCGCTGGGCATCGCTGGCACGCTTCTGGGCGTGCTGGCGTGCTTGACTGCTGGCCAGTGTGCGCTAAACGCTGCTGGCGTGCGTACTGGCGTCGTAGGACACGCGGCTGGGCGTGTGATGCGCTGCGGTGTACGTAACTGTGCGTGTTGACGCGCACTGTGCACGTCTATGCGCATGATTGGGGCCTGACTGCCGAGTACTGGGCACGCGTGCGCATTACTGGGTGCGCGGACGCTGCTTGCGTACTCGCTGGCCCTGCCGGGCGTGCCTGTGCGCACGCTGCGTGCAGTAGGCATCTCCGTCGGCATTTCGCCGGCCGTCCGGCTACTTTTTTCGGCAACCCTTACATGACTGAGTATAAAATGACTTAAAATGACTGAAAATACACAGATTACTCGGGACTTGCCGGTTAACTTTTGAAATCACTCGGGAGGGCTTAAATAGCACCTCTGAGGCCATTTTTACTAAAATCTTGGACCAAACAATCATGACTTTGACATGATCTTGTTAACATGAACTTAACTACATAAAAAGAGGGTAAATAGAGGTATACCCTTTAGTTCGGTCGAGGATTGCACGATAGCTTGTGTGCGTATACAATGCTCAAACGCGTGCTTGCTTACGTCCCTTTGCTTCGTCCTTCCTTAGCTATTATTTATATAATTTTTCCTCTATTTTTTCCTTACTGTTTTCTCTCTTTTTAGTATGCTGAAGTTGGCTGAAAATTCATGGGGAAAACGTCCCACATGCTCGGTTATTTATGGAGACAAAAACCGTGAGTAAAATGGGGTCAAAGGAGGTGGAAGATGACAACACTTCTGTTGATTACAAGTGTCCAAAGCATGGCTGAGGTGTTGGGCGGATTTTGCTTAGTCATCGCTGAGGTGGCAGACATGCACGGCTTAGTCATCACTCGTGGCCCCGTGTCGTGCCATGTGTTCAAGCAAGTAGGTGACTCAGCACCCCACTTGCACACCCAACATTTATCGTTAGATTTTCCCACACGGTAATTATTAGGGAGGTAATTTGGCTTGATTATGTTGCTAAGCATTACCTAAGTGCGTGCTTAGCGGCCTAATGACGCGCGCGTTATGCGCTGGTGATACGGAAGTGGCTAGACAGCTCGAGAACGCCGCAAGTCACGCTTACCATACACATAAGCGGTTAATACGAGAGGCAACCAAAGTGCGCACACGGGAGTGTAGGGCGCACAAGACAAGGGTAGAGGACCGGCACACGGGTGTGCGGACGATAGGCGCAGCGGCCACGGGCGATAGTACGCTGGACGTGTGCGAGGTGCGCACGGGTTACGGGCGTCCGCACGCGAAAGATGAGGACGCGCCAATAGGCGCGCAGGCAGCTGACGAGCGCGATAGCACGCGCATGAGAGATAGACGCCCGGGAGTCCTAGGCATGGCAGGACTAGGCAGCGCAAGGGCGGTGGGTGCATGATTCCTAACGCACGGAGGCTTAGGCGAGGCGCGCGCGCGAAGTGAGGCGGCGCACGCATGTGCGACGCGCGAGAGATGGAAGGCGGTGCGAAATACGGCCAAAAGTACCTATGGGCGTGTGGAATGGAAATTGTTTGGAGTGCAAGCCAAACAAGATCAAGATCTAGTTAATTAAGGACTCTAGGATATTTAGTTTCCTTCTTGCACAATAATATCTAGATTGTATAGGTTAGTTAATATTTAATTGCTTTAATTAGAGATTTAGATGGAATAGAATTTATTTACTGCACAGTTTAGGAGATCTAGTTAGATTAGAATTAGATTTAGTTTTCTCCTATAAATACCCATGTCCTCTTGTTATTTTATATATAGATGAATGAATTGAATCTTTGAGTAGTCTTAGTTAGTAGAAAATTGAGAACTTTTTGTTCAAACACTTTGCTTTAGTTTTCCACCAAAATTCTATTGCAATTTTATTCGTTCCAAGAGGCGCAGGCGTGGCTCGAAGAACACCTATCGGCGATTCAAGGCGCGGGATAGCAGCTTATCGGCAGTCGGGACACGCGATCTTCATCATTGGTGATTTCATTGAGAGTTGATTAGATC